CCCAGGTCCTTGGGCCCTGCACCCACATGGGAGTCCAGGAGGAAGCACCTGGCTCCTGGCTTCCAATCTGCGCAGTGCGCCAGCCACAGTGCGCCAGCTGTAGCGGCCATTATGGGGTAAACCAATGGAAAAGGAAAACCTTTCTCTCTGTCTCTCTCTCTAACTCTGCCTGTCAAAAAAATATTTTCCCCATAATTTTTTCCTTTTTTAAACTTTATTTTGAAATCACTACAGATTCACAGAAAATTGCAAAAATAGCAGTTTCATGTCCCATTACCCAGTTTCTTCCAATGACGACATCATCTATGGTTAGAAAAAACAAGAAATTCACATTGATGCACTGCTTTTTTTTTTTTTGATGCACTGCTTTTAAATAAATACCTTATTTTTCACCATTTTAAGCCTACATTTTTTTAAAAAAAGATTATTTATTCGAAAGAGTTACAAAGAGAAGGAGGTGAAAAGAGGAGAGAGGTCTTCCATCCTCTGGCTCACTCCCCAATTGGCTGCAATGACTGGAGCTGGACTGATTTGAAGCCAGGAGCCAGGGGCCTCCTCCAGGTCTCCCACTCGGGTGCACATTGCTTTCCCAGGCTATATCAGAGAGCTGGATTGAAAGTGGAGCAGCCAGGACTCGAACCAGTGTCCATATGGGATGCCGGTACTGCAGGCAGCGGTGGCTTTACTCACTATGCCACAGTGCCAGGCCCTGTATTGGTATTTTTTTTTTTTTTTTGACAGAGTGGACAGTGAGAGAGACAGAGAGAAAGGTCTTCCTTTGCCATTGGTTCACCCTCCAATGGCCGCCGCAGCCAGCGCGCTGTGTCCGGCGCACTGCGCTGATCCGATGGCAGGAGCCAGGTGCTTCTCCTGGTCTCCCATGGGGTGCAGGGCCCAAGCACTTGGGCCATCCTCCACTGCACTCCCTGGCCACAGCAGAGAGCTGGCCTGGAAGAGGGGCAACTGGGACAGAATCTGGTGCCCCGACCGGGACTAGAACCCAGTGTGCTGGCGCCGCAAGGTGGAGGATTAGCCTACTGAGCCACGGCGCCGGCTTTGTATTGGTTTCTGTTCATGTATATCACCTAGCTTATAAGTTAATTGACTCAGATGAAACACTAATATTTCCACAGGCTGTGGCTTTCCACAGTTAAGTATGCAGTACCATTCCAAAATTTCCCAAACTATAGATAAAATATGTAAAATCAGGTCATAAATGAAGCCCTTATTTCTTCCCTTCCATCAGCATCTTCCAAATCTTTGTTTCTTCTTTGAGAGGGTCCTGTTTTTCTTTTTGGCGCGGTTTGCTTGCACATAATTGTCATGTTTCTTTCCTAAGTGTACATACATGATAACTTAAAATGCTGCTTTTCCCAGGACATGTACATTGTAGTTGGGATGCTTTGAGGAAGAGCCTCCAAATGCAAAGGCATGAGGGTGTTGGACTGGATAATCTCCAAGACTCTGAGTTCCGATTACTCATTTAGACAGAAACTAATGTTTGTCATATACTGGGCAGTTTGCCAGATTGCAAGGAGGCCGTGGTGCCCTCAGGGAGAACCGCTTATTGACTTTGTGCAAATTTCTCCTTGAGTTAATACCTTTAATTCAATATATCTATAACTAACAGTGAAGTTTGGGGGCCTCTGACAGACCCAGTGATAGTGTTTCCGTCACCTGCCATAACCCCTGCTTTCTTGTCTTACCTCTAATTTTGACTGTACACTTAAACAGGAAGGAGAACATTTTTAAATTCTGAATTTGTCAGTGCTCTGAGATTCTGAAGCAGACAGTTTACTGGAAAGTGTGGAGTCTGAAGAACTACTCTCTAATCCTGTCATGATCTAGTATGAATTTTGTGGTGATGGATGTGTAACTTCATATCCCTGCATATCAAAGAAGGCTGGATGGTGAAGTAGAAAGAAAAGGACTTTAGGGCTGGCGCTGTGGCGTAGCGGGTAAAGCCGCAGCCTGCAGTGCTGGCATCCCATACGGACGCCGGTTTGAGTTCCGGCTGCTCCACTTCCGATCCAGCTCTCTGCTACGGCCTGGGAAAGCAGTAGAAGATGGCCCAAGTCCTTGGGCCCCTGTGCCCACGTGGGAGACCTGGAAGAAGCTCCTGGCTCCTGGCTTTGGCTTGGTGTAGCTCCAGCCATTGCGGCCAACTGGGGAGTGAGCCAGTGGATGGAAGACTCTCTCTCTCTCTCTCTCTCTGTCTCTCTGTGTGTGTGTATGTGTGACTCTGATTTCAAATAAATAAATATCTTTTAAAAAATAAAGAAAAGGGCTTTTGACAAGGTTCACTATATATTCATCCCATTCATTTAAAAGGCAAAAAGTTGGGATGGGTGTTTCATCGAGAGGTTATGATGCCCTTTGGGACACCCATGTCCCATATCAAAGTGGCTGAGTCAAGAGTCCTAGCTCTGGTCCTGGTTCCAGCTTCCTGCTAATGCACACCCTGGAAAGCAGCAGATGATGGCTCAAGTACTTGGGTCTTTGCCACCCATGTGGGAGACATGGTTTGAGTTCCTGGCTCCCAGTTTTGCCCTGGCCCAGCCCCAGCTACCACAGGCATTTGGGTAATGAACCAATGGATGAAAACTCTGTCTCTCAAATAAATAAAACAAATATAAGTAGCAAAATAAAAAAATCCAAAAAGCAAATATTTATTTCAGGCAGTATGCCAGGTGCGAGTGAGACAGTGGAATTCTCTGCCCTCAGGGGATAGTATTTATTTATTTGAAAGGCAGAGTTACAGAGAGGCAGAGGCAGAGAGAGAGACAGAAAGCCTTCCATCCACTGGTTCTCTCCCCAAATGGCTGCAATAGCCGGAGCTGGGCTGATCCGAAGCAAGGAGCCAGGAATTTCTGGGTCTCCCACATGGGTGCAGGGGCCCAAGGACTTGGGCCATCTTCTACTGTTATTCCAGGACATCACAGAGAGCTGGATCAGATGTGGAGCAGCCAGGTATGGAATCAGCAGCCATATGGGATGCTGCCACTGCAGGTGGTGGCTTTACCTGCTACGCTACAGCGCTGGCCTCAGGAATAGTATTTATTGATTTGAGCAAATTTTCACCTTTTGAGTTTACTTTCCTGTGTATAAAAGTTGGTGAGAATAATACGTACTCCACATTCTGTAAGAATTACTGTTGTGATCCATATTTGTAATTGGAGAGTTGTATTCCTTGGGTGTGCTGCTGGAAAGAAGATTAAAAGCTGCTTATCTCATTAAAGTTCTTCATTTAAAAAAATTTTAAAAAATATTTATTTGTTTGAAAGGCAGAGTTATGGGGCTGGCATTGTGGCATAGTGGGTAAAGCTGCTGCTGCAGTGCCAGCATCTCATATGGGTGCCGGTTCCAGTCCTGGCTGCTCCATTTGTGATCCAGCTCTCTGCTAGTTCACTTGGGAAAACAGTGGAAGATGGTCCAAGTGCTTGGGACCCTGCATCTACGTGGGAGACCGGAAGAAACTCCTGGCTCCTGGAGTCGGCCTGGTTCAGCCCTGGCTATTGTGGCCATTTGGGGAGTGAATCAACAGATGGACGATCTCTCTCTCTCTCTCTAGGTGTGTCTCTCCCTTTCTCTCTCTCTGTAATTCTCCCAAATAAATAAATTTAAAAAGAAGAAGAAGAAGAAAAAGGAAAGAGAAAAAGAGAGAAAGGCAGAGTTACAGAGAGAGGGAGATTCCCCAAGTGGCTAGGCCAAAACCAGGAGTCAGGAACTCCATCCAAGTCTTCCACTTGGGTGGTAGGGGTGCAAGCACTTGGACCATCTTCTGCTTTTTGAGAGACATTAGCAGAGAGCTGGATCAGAAGTGCAGCAGCCAGGACTTGAACTGGCGCTCATATGGGATGCTGGTGCTTCAGCCAGCAGCTTAAAACTGCTGTTCCACAATGCCAGCATGTCAAGTTCTTCATTTGCAGGTGACAGATTGGGCTTAGACCAATCAGCTGACCAATTCAGTTCTCCCTTTTAATAAAGATTTATTTTATTTTTAAAGGCAGAGTTATATATATAGAGGGAGAGATAGAGAGCTTACCATCTGCTGGTTCACTACCCAAATGGCTAAATGGGCCAGGCCAAAACCAGGAGCCTGGAACTCCATCTGGGTCTTCCTGTGCGTGCAGGGACCCAAGCACTCGGGCCATCGTCTTCTGCTTTTCCAGGTGCATTAGCTGGGAGCTGGATCAGAAGTGGAACAGCTGGGACTCCAACAAGGGCTCATATGGGATGCTGGCATCGCAGGCTGTGGCTTAACCCAGTGCAGCAGAATGCTGGCTCCCCAGTTCCCTTTTAACTTAGCACACACAGTGATATTCCTTCAGGATCCTTAAGACCAGGACTTCTGAGGCCTTTTCATCTCCTCCTGGCCGTTGTGTCCCAGCCCCTCTAGAGTACTCCATGTTCCAGCACCCACTGCGATTGCATCTGTTTTGCCAAGGCTGGGTTCCTCCTTAGCAATCCACAAATGGCATCTCCTGTCTTGAAATCCAGTCATCTGTCAACTCCCAAAGCATCACCTCCTCCATTATGATCATGGCTTCAACTTCACGAGGCCTCCCCTCTGGGTATCTCTAGTGGGGACTCGAACCGGTGTCCATATGGGATGCCTGCACTGCAGGTGGTGGCTTTACCTGCTATGCCACAGTGCTGGTCCCCTTGCCTCCTTTTTATCACCCCACTAGACTTCCTGGCCTTGTAACAGCTGATAAATAGTCTTTGATTGCATTGAAATCTCCAGTCAGTTGGATGGCAACATGACAGCAATAACACCTGACCAGCTACCAGAGAAAGCTATTGTGGTAATAAAATGAGGCAATAAAAATGAAGCAAATTCTGGCCATTTTTAAAGGGGCCACATCAAGGAGGGTGATTAGAGGGAAAAGCAGTCTGGGAGTCGGCTCACATTTGAAATAGTTGGGGACGTGGTTATTATTACTTTTTCTTTAATTTTTGCCTGCAGACACCCAGCGTTGGAGGACATAACCACTGTTTTCGAAGTGGAAAACATTCTGTCTAGCTAGCCGAGGTACTAGCAAGGCGAGAAAGAGAAGGGAAGCTGATTTCAGCTCAGCAGGAGGCAGAACTTGACAACATTAAGAGCTGGCCGCAGGACTGAAGGTAGTGAGCTCCCTGAAATTTGAACTGCGGAAACTCGAAGCTCCTCCAAAATCCCCGCCTCTGAGCTTCCAACCCCAAGCTTTCCGTGACCGCTCAACAAAAATTAACTGAAGTCAGTTCACTTAAACCCCCCGTGTGAAGTTTCGTGATCTATAACGTGCACACTGAGACTCCCAGGGGGAATTTTTGATCCTGGAAGTCAGATCGCACCCCCCACACCAAACGCGGGCGCTTTTAGCAGAAAGGGAGGGGAGCTTCCTCCAGAGCGGAACCAGGTGTCGCCGGTCATGGAAGACGTAAGGCGCCCTCGGCTGTCACTTCACACACGCCGGCACTGCCCGCACGCGGAAGTGAGGGCCCGCACGTCGCGAACAACTTTCCGGAAAAGGCGACCGGGCACCCAGACGCCCACGGCCCAGGCAGCCGGCACCGCGGGGCCGGACCACCGATCCCAGGGGCCCCCGCGGCGCCGCGCACGCGCGCTGGCGTGGCAGCAGCGCCGCCGCAGGACGCAGAGAGGCCAACCCGCGAGTGGCGGCGGCGGCGGTGGCAGCTCGCGGCGAGAGTGACGGCTCCGCGGCCCAGCGGCTGTCTGGCCGAGACCTCGGCCCTCGCCTCCGCAGGCGCCCCTCGGTGAGTGCCTGTCCCGGGTTAAGCCGCGTGAAGTGCGGGGCTCTCTTCCTTACCGGGCGGGCTGCTCCGGCCTAGGGCCGCAGCCGGCGCCTGACGGCCGGGCCGCCGGCTCCAGCTGACCCCTGAGCCCCGGGCCCCTAGGCCATTCCCTTGAGTGGCGGGCGACGTGGGTGTCGGGGGAGCGCTCGGCGGGGCCCACAGCGGAGCGGCGGCGGCGCGCAGGGCCCGGGCGGCCACTGGCGGACGAGAGGGAGGGACGCGTGGGGGATGGGATGGGAAGGGACCGGAGGACCGCGGGCCGGCTCGGGTGGGGGCCGGCGGCCAGCACCTCGCGGGTGGGGAGCTGAGACCCGGAGGCCCGCAGGAGAGGGTGTCGCGGCTCGGGAGTCTTTCGAGCCGGACCCACAGGTCTAAGGGGCAGCCCACCTGGCACAAACGCACGCCCTGTGCTTGGCAACTTTTCGCTCGCTGTTGGCGGATCCCGTCCCTCTTCCTCCCGCCTCACCTCTCATTGACTTGCGGAATTGTAGTGGGCACAGACCACAGAAATGCATAGGGTTCTGTGTATAAATCTGCGTAAAAACGGGGACGGGCTGATGTTCAGATGAGAGCTGAGTCTTAAGTGTTTTCAGTTTTAAATTTGTGACAGAAATCACAAGTTTTTGAGCAGCTTTGAACCAGAGAAATTTTTTTTAAAGCCTGGGTTCATCAATGGATAGAATTCAAGGGGTCTTTTACGTAGAATGGGGATAAAAAGACTTATTTATTTTTATTAATTGCTAACTGAAATATTTAATTAGCTTCTTTGGATTTGTGATATTCTTAGACCCATGGCTAGAACTTGTTATTTAAAACTGCACATGTGTTACCATATCAGGTTTTAAATTGTATTGCTAATATTTCAGCATTATTTGTTCTCTTTGCAATCACATGTATTTAATTATGCTTTTAAAAGTAATTTGAGGGGGCCGGTGCTATGGTGTAGTGGATAAAGCCACTGCCTGCAGTGCTGACATCCCACAGGGGCGCCAGTTCAAGTCCTGGCTGCTCCACTTCCTAGCCAGCTCCCTGCTGATGTGCCTGGGAAAGCAGCAGAGGATGATCGCTGTCCTTGGGCCCCTGCACCCACTTGGGAGACCCGGAATAAGCTCCAGGATCCTGGCTTTGGATTGGCCTGGCTGTGGCTGTTACAGCCCATTTGGGGGGTGAACCAGCGGATAGAAGACCCCTCCCGCTCTCGCTTTCTCTCCCCTTCTCTCCCCCTCTGCCTCTCTGTAACTCTGCCTTTGAAATAAATAAATCTTAAAAAAAAAAAAAAAAAAGTAATCTGAGAAGGGGACCATCAGCTTCACCAGGCCACCAAAGATGCCCGTGGCACAAAAGGATTATGGACTCCTGAAAAAGCATTAAGCTTTTTGGAATCTGTAAGTCTGCATGGAAGGATATTTAAATCTTTAGGTAAGAAAGAAGACAAAGCAGGCAAGATGATAGGTTAGGCAGAAGAGAATTTGGCAATCAAGGAACTAAAAGTTTGAATTAGATCAGAGTAGTTCTGAAATATAGAATAGACCCCAGATATTTGGGTCAGGTCATTGGGGAATCAGCAAAATAATCTCGGGAAGAAAGGGAAGTGAATGTTTCAACCCATAAATTTTTATTTTTTATTTTTTTAAAGATTTATTTATTTGAAAGGCAGAGTTAGAGAGTCAGAGGCAGAGAGAGAGAGAGAGGTCTTCCATCCACTGGTTCACTCCCCAGATGGCCACAACGGCCGGACCTGTGCCGATCTGAAGCCAGGAGCCAGGAGCTTCCTCCAGGTCTCCCACGTGGGTGCATGGGCCCAAGGACTTGGGCCATCTTCTACTGCTATCCCAGGCCACAGCAGAGAGCTGGATCAGAAGTGGAGCAACTGGGACTGGAACTGGTGTCCATATGGGAGGCCTGCACTGCAGGTGGTGGCTTTATCTGCTAGGCCACAGTGCTGGCCCCCATACATTTTTATTAAGGCACCTCCTTAGTTCCAAGTAATTGAAGCCCTGCAAACTCTTGTGTAAGATATGCAAGGACATTGTAATGTTTGCTGTTCTAAATCATGTAGAGTGTTGTGCGGGGGAACCCTAATTTTTCTCTTTAGTTGAAAAGCAACAGAATCTTTCTTCAGCTACCGTTAATTATTGCTCTTCTTTTCATATGTGATGGGAAGTACTCATATAGATATAGAAGTAGAGGGTTGAGAAACCATTTTCTTTTTTTAAGATTTATTTTATTTATTTGAAAGAGTTAAAAAGAGAGAGGGTGAAGGAGAGAGCACTCTTCCATCCACTGGTTCACTACCCAAATGGCCATAAGGGCCGGAGCTGGGCCAAGTGGAAGCCAGGAGCTTCTTCTGGGTCTGCCACATGGGTGCAGGGGCCCAAAGAGTTGGGCCATCTTCTGCTGCTTCTGCAGGCACATTAGTAGGGAGCTGGATCAGAAGTAGAGCAGCCAGGACGTGAACTGGCATCCATGTGGGATGCTGATGTTTCATGTGGTGGCCTAACCTGCTCCGCCACAATGCTGGCCCCAAGAAGTTATTTTTCTTGAGATTCTGGTTCAGATTCTTATAATGCTGCTTCATTTGGCATTAATTTTCTCACTGACAGTCATTCTGTATGGCTTGAAATTTGCACCTGTTTGTAAAGCACCTGCCTGTCAACATCTTATGTGAGATTTTTTTTATACACTATGAAATAATAGCAGTAGTAGAAAACCACTGCTGCACACTTTTTCTGAGAGAAATAAAGGGTGACTATGAGAAGCAAATTATTTTATGAAACAGGTAGTTGGTGTTGAAAGAGTTGACTGAACTGAACACACCACAGCACTGGCTGAAGGAGGTCTTCCCTTCTCTTGTGTGCCCTTACACTGCCCCTTGTTTTCGTTATAGCACAGACCCATTTAGTGTCATTTTTGTATTTGAGTTTTTAAATCCTTTTTTTTCCTACTTGAATGTCAGCTCTACAAGTATAGGGCCTTTGTCTTCACAGTTGTGCCAGAATAGGGGCAGCACCTAATAGGTGCTTAGTAAATATTTGTTAAAGAAAGAAATGACTGAGTTAACTTATGGGAGATAAGATTTCTGTTTCTAGGAATAAAGTATGTTCATTTTAAAATTATTTTTAGGGGACAGTGCTGTGGCTCATTTGGTTAATCCTCCGCCTGCAGTGTCGGCATCCCATATGGGCACCAGGTTCTAGTCCCGGTTGCTTCTCTTCCAGTCCAGCTCTCTGCTGTGGCCTGGGAGTGCAGTGGAGGATGGCCCAAGTGCTTGGGCCCTGCACCCACATGGGAGACCAGGAGGAAACACCTGGCTCCCGGCTTTGGATCGGTGCAGCACTGGCTGTAGCAGCCATTTGGGGGGTGAACCAATGGAAGGAAGACCTTTGTCTCTCTCTCTCTCACTGTCTGTAACTCTTACCTGTCAAAAAATTATTTAAAAAGATTTTTTTAGAGAGATATTTACTTGCTAGGAAAGAGGAAGAGACAGAAAGCTTGAGCTCAGTCTCTGTCCACTGGTTCACTCCTCAGAACAGCTACAACTGCCAGGCCAGAGCCAGGAGCCAGGAACCCTGTCCTGGTCTCCAACATGGCTGGTAGGGGCCCAAGCACCCAAGGCATCTTCCGCTGCCTTTCTGGTGCATTAATAGGAAACTGGATTGGGATGCTGGCCTTACAGGTGGTGGGTTAACCCCCTGTGCCACATCGCTGGCGCTACATCTTACATTTTTTAGAAAATAGGAAATTATTTCCGAAACACTATGTAGTAGTTATCCTTAGCTTTCTGTGATGATGTAGTAAAAGGAAGTACCTGTAGGTGAAGTTCTTACTTTGCCAAAGTTCTTGTACTGTGTAATCCTAGGTGTGTTATTTTAGATCCTAATGACTTGTCTGATATGTTCAGGACCACGGGAAAAAGGAAAAAACAAGCAGTTCTAGAAGGGATACTGGTATTAGTATTAGCCCTGAATTACAATTAGCATTGAATTACAGTAGTGTTGCTTCATTTGGCATTAGTTTCTCACTGACAAATCACTTGTGTTTAATTAAAGAAATGGAAATAAGAGGTAAGTGAGAAAGCTTTTTTCACAGCAGATTGGTAAAAACTCTGAAGTCTCTAACAATATAAAATATTGGTGAAGATGTGGCAAAAATGGGAATTTTAGAAACTGTTGGTGGAATATAAATTTAATACAGCAACCTTTGGAGGCAATAGTATTTGTTGTAGTTACCAAAGTTGAAAATGGGCATACCCTACCCCATAATTTCATAATGATGTCTGTGAGGGAATAGGAATGGGAGGTGGTGACATAGTGGATAATATCTAATTTTTTTTTTGTTGGGGGAGGGGGTGACTAGAAGCAACCGTAACAGTGTTAACAGTTAATTCTGGGTGGCAGAATACAAGTGTCAAATTATTCTTTGCACCTTTCCCTATATTCTGTTTTTTTTTTTTTATTCTATAGTTTTAAAAAATTATTTATTTAAAAGGTAGAAAAATGAGAGAGACAGACAATAGGATATTGCTCCTACACTAGAATCTAGTGGACATTATCTTCACCAAATAGCCAAGTTTATATCAATAATGAAACTGGCATCATGTACCTCTGATTTGATAGGTTGAGAGAGACCTAAAATCACCTGTGTTATCATTCCAGCCAAAAATGACTGTGAAGGAATGTTGAGACAAATCCAAGTTGAGCATTTTATAAAACAAGTAGACTAAATACTTTACAAAATATTATTTCATGAAAAACTGGAAAAAGGCTGGAAAACCATTGTACATTCAAGGAGACAACTAAATGTAGTGCAACTTCCTTAACTGGATCTTGGATCCAAAACAAAACAAAAAAAACTAAGGACAGTATTGGGAAAATGGACAATGCCTTAAATATAATATATCCATGTTAAATAGCTTGAGAATTACAGCTGAACCGTGGGTATGTAGAGCTCCTTGTTTGGGA